CTTTGAATGGAGGGGACAGGGGAGGGGTGCGGATTCTTTTGTTCTCCGAAGTCACCCTATTTAAGTACAATGTCTCAACAATTTTGTCACCGATTGAAGTCTAACTTGGTCCCGAGGGAAACAGCCTTAATTTTTTTCCAGAGAATCGCCTCAATGTTTTATTGAGATTCTCGGGAATCTCTGATTGAGATTATATAGCTGGAAAATTCATTAAACTTCGCTGTAATGACGGTAGTCGATCAACATTCGCAGGTGATAGTGCACTTTTACCCTCTGACATCATAGATTTTGCAATGCTACCCGCTCAGAGATTTTGGCGGGAAACAGTTTCATTGTTAGATGTCATGTGACCTTGAAGTAACCAATAAGAGCGCGCGCTGTTGGGTAAAAATTTCAACTATTACATTTACAGTACAGTTTTACAATTAGATTTTGTTGCAAAAATTAGAATTATTCTCTACTTTCTGCAACAAAATTCTGCAACCTGCAAAAACCTGATTTGTTGCAAGACAGGTTTTATTCCTGGATGGTGAAACGGGCAACATTGTTAGTGTGCGTATTGCAAATCAAATGCCACCAAGTTTGTTACATTCATGGTCGTAATGTTTTTACATTAGTGGTTAAGTTTTTTATTACATTAAAGGTTAGAAAATTTTTACATTGGTGGTTAACTTTTTGTTACATTAGTGGTTGATATTTATTACATTAATGGTTCGTATTACATAAGTGATTGGTATTTATCACATTAGTAGTTAGTGTTACAATAGTGGTCGATTACTGCATTAGTGGGTGATACATTGGGGACCCCAGGTTGGTGAGGTAACCCGTTCAGGTGGGGTAAAAAATAACCGCCGTTTACATGCAACCTTACATCCCCGTTATCCCGGGATGCACTTTTTCTCAAGATTATTTAATGGTCGCTTGGCACGTAAGCACAAAAATGGTGGGCAAACGACCTGTTTCGGCGGTTAACGCTCTTCTACTCTCACCTACTGCTCTTGTTGTAGCCTTTCAGTGGTGTGGCTTTTACTTTTAATGATTCAAAGCCTCTGGAAAAGGTATTTGCGCGAATTAAATGTAATGCGAATATAGGTAGCTTACCCCACCTTGAAACGTTCACATGGCAAAATTTGACCCCGACTGAAAGGGCTACCAGCTCTGGCAGACAGGGCAACCCGCCTGAGTGATTCAACCCAACTATAATAAAAACGTGATCAAATTGAAATGAGACTGATTATATAGACAGGCAGGTTACCCCACCTAATGGGGTTTCCTACCTGGGGTCCCCTACCTCCATGTAAACAGGCCCTTAAAATAACAAAAATATCGAAAGCAACTACTCAAAATAAATTTATTTGAAACGCAACTAAAAATCATTTAAATAAAATTTCTTTACAGATGTTGACGAAAGAGGTACTCGCTGCCATATTATTCTTAATGCTCGTCCAATCAGGCGCTAGTTCCACTTCTTCTTCTGTATCTGCTTCTCCATCTGTATCTGCTTCACCATCTGTAACCAATTCTTATTCAAGCACCACTCCCGGATCGTCTTCAAGTGAGAGCAATTCGGCCTCTCCAATGGGATCCTCATCTCAAACATACACGCCCGCTACAAGCACTGTCACCAACACTGTGACCATCACGGTGACAAATACTGTTACCAGTGACGTCACCAGTACCGTTACACATATTGTGAACCAGACTAGTGGGATGACCATATCACCAACCGCAGCTGGAACTTGGGGAGTCAGTCCTTCATCTATGTTATCTGGTAGGTATCACTAGTTGTCCATTTGTTTTAGTAAAATCCCAAATACGATTGGCATTAGCCAATCATATATCGAGATTAATCTTCACGAGCCACTACTTGGCTATAGGTCAACTCTTGGAATTTCTACATTAGGCACTTTATTCCAAAAACAAACTTAAGACAAATAATCCATTAAAAAGGCGTAAGGCGGATACACCCTCTGTCCACCTTTATTTTCTCTAAGCACAAAGAGGGTGATTAACGATTTTTAAATGAAAGAGATGCAGTAAAAAAGCTTCGGGAGAATTCGAAGAAAATTTATCTTTCCATGTATTTTTCCTTGTTTGAAATATTCAGGCTAACTTAGAGGTCCGAAAAAGAACAAGAAAGTTTTCACGTAGAAATCCTCCTCTCAAAGTGGTAATGATAATGTTCACAATTTACAATCACAAGAGAGCAATACTACAGTCAGAAACTGATTTTCCTTTTTATTATTTTAAAGTTGTGTGGAACGAATGGAAAACCGAAAAAGAGACCGACTGTAAAGAAAAGTGCTGTGACACAGGGGGCCTAGCTATCAAACAAGTGAGGACTTGTACAATCCACCAACCACGATGTAACTTCACAGAATGTATGTATTATGGCCCAATTGAACGGGAAATCTCCTGTTACATGGCTTGCAGTCACTGTATGCCCAGTAAAGGTAAGATATTATCATAAGAATCCTTTTTTTCTTTGTGCAGTTAAATATAAACTAGCCATTTTACACATGGGCTGTTGCCCAAGGGGAAGCAACGTTTTGTGTATCAGTGACCGATTTCCCCACAGTAAAATTTTGTAAAACCTCAATACCGCAACTTAAAATAAAAATTTCCGCAAAACCGCACCAAAAATCGAGAAATCGATGTTAGAATTACGATTGAAAAGTATACCCCTCGACCCTAACCTCATTTTAAATTATTTTTTTAATGTTTAGGATATAGCATGGCTGGACCAGAGCTTCTTTTAATCACCGCAGCTCTTCTTATCTCCATGTATGTATTTCACCTATCACCATAATAAATTTACTGACTGATAGGCAGGTCGTAATTTTGACGAAGAATAGGCAATCTGACTGACTGTGGTTCCACTCCCTCGGTTCACGCAGCTTGCAGATTGGAGGCTCTCCACTCAGTATCCTCAACAGAAATACGGAGGGCTGATTCATTACACAAACTTTGAAGCAAAACAAGACACCGCGGACAGTTTATTCTAAACTGCACGTTTATGTTGTAGTTAATTTTTAGTGTTCTATTGTTTTTGGGTATGGTCATGTCTGCTAGTGAATTTTAAACAGAGGAAAAACAAATTAACTGAAATAAAAGAATTAACTGCAACATATACACAGTTACTGACTTGATGTTAAGAAACTAGCTAAGGACATCATGACATTGAGCAGACAAGGGCGCCTTAAAGTCTTTTTGTAGCTAGCTGGCCTGGCGCACGTATTGAAAAGATATTCGAAGAAACTTTAGTTTGAATGACCAAAACGTTTAGCGTAAAAAAGATGGGTAGATAGATGTCACGCCCTCAATTTGCCCACTTCAGACGTTTTGCATGTGTTGATATTCTGTTTTGTAGAGAAGAAAAGAAGCGTGAGAAATATTACAATTTGTATTCTAAAGAGTCTGATGTCACTTATTATTTTATTTGCATGTTATAGAGCTGCAGTGCGACCCTGAGAAGAAACCATAGGCCATATCAAAATGTGACACTGATTTACAGGATTCTTAATATTGTAGATAAAACTTCTGTCCAGCAGATATCAAGCTCATTTAAAGAAAAGATGCCTAGTATAATTAGTTACACAAGAATATCATGAGCCTCGACAATTAGCAAGAAATCTGAGCAGCCGACGGAATTCGAATCCATAACCTCTCGAGTCCGAACCCATTATCCCCCCCTAGTACAAGTCGATTGCCGCCGGAGACTCGGATTCAGTGTCCCTGCAAGCACTTGGCCGCGAGAAAGCTATGAATAAATATGATGTGATGTCTCATGCACAGTAAATTGTAAAGAAATAATTTCCTCGTACACGTTAAATTTTCCGCGGCCTCGCACAAGAATTTCGAACGGTCTACACAAAATGGCACATGTTTTGGTTTGTTTGGCTGCAAAACCCCGATTACATAAATCACCGCATACATTATCAGACCAGATTCGATAACAACCAATCAGCGTTAAGTCAAACAATGCGCACTGTGTGCCAGCCTATCACAGCATGTTCCAAGATCTTGGGAACCCAGCGTGATGCTGGAACACGATTAGCGACGGCGTTACGCAGACGTCCCTTTTCCGAGTGAAAGAAAGGAAATAGGAGACGTCTGCACGCAGGCAAAGCTTGGACTAGCTTTAAATACCCTTAAAACGGAGCATTGATAGAGAGATAGACGTAAAATATCGTTGTTTCTTTTTTACCTTTAACTTCATGGACTGTGGTGAGAACTGTTAAAAAAGTAGCTATAAAAATTCTCCAATCTGATTGGCTATTAGCAGTTCTGGTCTCAGCACTTAATAGGACGGTGTTTTGACAGTTCATGTCATCACAAGCTCTGTAAAGGACACTTGAATGTTGTTATGTCATTTTTGTATATCTTTTTAGTTAAAACGTTTAAACTGTCTCTAAGTCAGTTTTCCTTTAAATTTTGTTAAAGTTATATCATCAACTGGCAAAGGACTTTGCATTCTTGCTCATTTCATTCTGTCTGTAATCAGGCCCATCAATTACTTTTGCTATATTTTCCTTGTTATTGCTTCACCATATATATGTATAAATATATACTACGTTAAATAATCTGAGATAAAAGCCAACATTTCGCGACGCCACCTCTGATTTCAACGTGAAATGAAGTCTGATGACGTATCACTACCTATAGCTGGCTACTGCTTCCGATTGGTCGTGCCGCATGGGGAATTTGCTTCAACCAATCAGAAGCGCTACCCAGATCTGTGTAGTGATACTTCGTCAGTGTGAAATTTCTGCCCTCCTTCCTCAATCATTATTTCGCCTGGAAACCAGCGGTAGCGTCGCGAAATGTCGGCTATTTTCTTAGCCCACAGACATTCATACGCCGTAAAACAAAAACAATGGAGGTACTGCCTACCTTTTGCGTATCCCCGGTTACCACTTTTTATTATCTCAGTTCACTGTTGTTGCGGTCATCTTTTTTTCTCTTTTAAATCCTTGGTTATGCAATGGGTTTTTACCCCTCAAATTTGACATTTTGAAAGCAGCCCTAATAATTTTCTTTTTATAACGCACCTGTCGTCAGTCACCAATAAAGTAAACAATATAGCCCTCATTAGAGGAGTGCCTTGTTATTTCTGGAATTGTTTGATTGAATCAGTAATATTAACTCCAAAATCATTATTTACTGGGAGCTGGAACATAAATACNAAAGTTATATCATCAACTGGCAAAGGACTTTGCATTCTTGCTCATTTCATTCTGTCTGTAATCAGGCCCATCAATTACTTTTGCTATATTTTCCTTGTTATTGCTTCACCATATATATGTATAAATATATACTACGTTAAATAGTCTGAGATAAAAGCCAACATTTCGCGACGCCACCTCTGATTTCAACGTGAAATGAAGTCTGATGACGTATCACTACCTATAGCTGGCTACTGCTTCCGATTGGTCGTGCCGCATGGGGAATTTGCTTCAACCAATCAGAAGCGCTACCCAGATCTGTGTAGTGATACTTCGTCAGTGTGAAATTTCTGCCCTCCTTCCTCAATCATTATTTCGCCTGGAAACCAGCGGTAGCGTCGCGAAATGTCGGCTATTTTCTTAGCCCACAGACATTCATACGCCGTAAAACAAAAACAATGAAGGTACTGCCTACCTTTTGCGTATCCCCGGTTACCACTTTTTATTATCTCAGTTCACTGTTGTTGCGGTCATCTTTTTTTCTCTTTTAAATCCTTGGTTATGCAATGGGTTTTTACCCCTCAAATTTGACATTTTGAAAGCAGCCCTAATAATTTTCTTTTTATAACGCACCTGTCGTCAGTCACCAATAAAGTAAACAATATAGCCCTCATTAGAGGAGTGCCTTGTTATTTCTGGAATTGTTTGATTGAATCAGTAATATTAACTCCAAAATCATTATTTACTGGGAGCTGGAACATAAATACAGATTTAAATGAAGGTGAATTACTTTGTCCTTAAAAAAGCAAATTGACATTTTAATTCACAAGCATTTTCTGTACCTTAACAGAAACCAATTATTGACACGTTTAATTTAATTTCGGTAAGGGGTAAAATTTTTGATTTGTAACCTACAGTATTTTATATTTCTTTGTAAATGTTTGAATGCTTTGTACCAGAAATATGTCAAATTTTGGTCAATTTTGCAGGTCAGTATCGGTCAACGAATTCCATATAGACATCCAACGCTATTACTTTCTCAGGCTTTTTGCTCTGAATATTTCAAAACTTCCTATTCCAGAAGCCAATGTCTCAGTAAAAAGAAATGTTACAAACTAAATACCACCCGTCAAGCCAATTCATAGAAATTTTTCTTTGTTTACCCAGAAACTAAGTTCACAAATCAAAAACAAAGCCTTAAGTCAACTACCTTTATTTAAAGTTTGTTTACATGCGAAAGAAACACGGTCATCCTTCTGAACGTTTTCGCAAGGTAAGGCAAGCTAGTTTACTGTGCTGACACTCCGCAAGGCGAATTAAGACACTAGTTTAAGTAAAAGCTGTTAGAAAGTGCAACAATGACAAAAATTTGGCTTTATCCACTGAGTTACAATTGATTATAAGTCATTTGAAAAAGCTAACGTTCCTATCATTATCTCCTCCTCGTTGACTCTCCGAACTACAACCAGTTTCTTGAAGTATAATTTTCCCCTAACGAAATTGTTTTAAAGCCTCATTAGCAACTTAGCAAGTCAATATTTATTTCTTCGAGGTAAATTAAACACCCCAAACATTTTGGTCTCAAAGTGTTTATGACAGCTGCAACAAATTCCCAACAAAAAAATTCTCCAAGAAGGATCGTTTTCCTTAAAGTTAGATATAAAAGCCTCTCAAGGTCAAACAAAACTAGACTCCGCGGCTTTAATTTCACAGGCTTGTTGTGAATTTTTATTTATCTATTTGCACCGCGATTGACCCCGGCATGAACCGAACAAAGATGTTTCAAATATATTAAACAGCAAACTCAACCATTAGTACCCCTTTGTGTTAGTATGCAGGTTTCCTTCTGTCGAACTGCCTTTTCCAGCGTCTACTTCTGTTATCTTCTCAACTCTTAAAAATAATTTAGTTAATTTATATCCTAAATCGAAGAGTCATACATGCATGCCCTGCTTTTGGTGAAATTTATTTCAAGCTAGTTTATTCCTACAGGCCTTCTTGTTGACTGGCTTCATTTTCGTTCTTCCTTGAAAAACAAGTAGAGGCCCGCCCTAATTAAAAGAGCGGATTTTTTCTCATGAGAATGAGAAGGTCATCGTTGCTTCCATCGTTTTCAGTCGCCGAGTCAAAAACAATGGTTTAGGGGTGAATTTCAGTCGTCTCGTGAGGAACTATTGATTAAGTGCTTTTATTCATGACGATGAAAGCAGCCAACAACACAGTTGTTACATGTAACACTTTATGATGTTATATTGCATCATAATGATGTCAGCAAAAATATTTGATTCATTGTTGCCCTTGGTTACCACTCGTTGCCCGGTAACAGTTTAATAATATTAGGACACTCGTGCTTTTCTTTGGCCTGGCTTTTGTTTGTTTGTGTTTTTATTTTCCTATAGTTAATTTTTCTGTTTATTAACAGTTATGCTGTAATACGTGAAAAGGATTTTAAAGAAACAACGATAAAAGTTGAAAGCGGTTGTAGATGATTGGCAAGACACCTGTCTCAGGCTGTAAAGGCTTTTGTTTGTTTGTGTTGTTATTTTCCTTTAGTTAATTTTTCTGTTTATTAACAGTTATGATGTAATACGTGAAAAGGATTTTAAAGAAACAACGATAAACGTTGAAAGCGGTTGTAGATGAT